ACAAGAATTCCAATGATCGAATCCTACTGTCGACAGGATTTCATTAGATAAATAATCCTGTCAGATCCAATTAAGAAACTTGGTTACTACAGATAGTCGCAACCAAGAAGATCGGATCTGGTCTGACTGGGAAAAACTGGCAGATCTGACCAGATTAAATCTACTTGTCATTTATTTTTCTTTTAACTACTTCCGTTATTCTTCTACTGGTGAGAAAACGTTAACTAGACGCAAACGTTGTTACAATTAAGCAAACTACATATGTATATGATACTGAAAAAGATTTAATTAAAAAAAAATAAATGAACAAAGAGAAGGATAAGGAAAAAGGAAATTCAAAAGAAATCATCTAATAAATGCACGAAAATACAATGATAAGACGAGTGAACAAGGTGTAATTGATACCAGAAAGCATCAAGAATACTACTTATGAGGATGGGGTGTGGGTATGGGGGGTAGGGTGGGGTCAGGGTGTGGATGCGTGGGTGTGCGGTGCAGGTATAGGTGTGAGTGCGGATGGGTGACTGTGCGGTGTAGGTGTGGGTGTCGGTCTGGGTGAGGTATAAATTTTCTCTATTCCCCAACACCCACACACCCATCCACACCCACATCCAGAGCCGTCGCAAGGTGTTAAAGATGGGGGGGAGGCTCGAAAAATTTTTCAAAAAGTTCTATAAATTATCAAAATTTTGAGAAAAATTTAGAGATTTATTGAAAATTTTTAAGATTTTTTGAAGAATTTGAGAAATTTTTGAAGGAGTTTTGAAAATTTTTCGAAAATTCTTGAAAATTGCTTACAGATTTTTAAAAAACATTAAACAAAAAAACTAAAATTTCTAAAGATTGGGGGGGGGGAGTGACCTCCCGTTCCCCTCCCCCCGCTCGCGACAGCTCTGCCCACACCCTTCTTATGTTGAGCTTGAATCACCATAGCCTTTCTTCTTTTATGAAGAAGACATTTAGTTATAGAACTTAATCATTTTTAAACAAGAAGACTAGTCAAATATTTGCCTTGTTTCCTTTAGTTGAATGCATCAAATTAAACTCCATTTTGACAAATGAAAGATTTTCAAAAATTGGCAAGAATTTGTAAAGAGAAAAAACTAAGATTTATTGTATGTCGATCCACTTAGTTTTATAAAACTGATAAAAGAATATAGACACATAGATAAAATTGCATAGAGTCATGACCATACATTAATCAAAGCAATAGACGAATAAAATTCATAATATGACATGTGTATTGATAATGACCATAAAAATTAATTTTGACAATTGACATGACATATCAAGCAATGTTTTGATACACTCTATTACTTTTGTTTTTTTTTAAATTTCATTTTTTATAAATACAATGAATGCTAATATAGTTGTTTTTTTTTGTGTCGAATTATATTAAACTTATGTATATTTTAATAAATAAATAAGACTTTTAATGACGTTACTCCATTAATCATAACTATATGTTCAAATAGACTTACCAATCAATATATATACATATTAATAAACTTTATGCTTATTTATACAATATTGAACTGTCAATCAAACCATTCTATTTGATCATTTTGAATAAGAATAATTAGATAATCATTGAGATCAGGTTATAGACAAATATAAATAAGTTTCTATTTGGAAATATTATTCTTTTAATCAAGAAAATATTGAATAAGTGTTTTTGCAATTCAGGAATATTTTCTATTCTTAGTATAAAACTTGTCAACATACTATTCATAATATTTCAGATATGAATCATGATATAATTGCTCTTACGAATAAAAGAAAATGTTTAACAAATTCATTCAAGTTGAAACTGTATGTGTTCGATACTTCGCTTTATTTTTCCAGCGATATTCAATATTTTTTTTCTGATATACATAGTTGAAATTGAAATCATTTAGTTCACTTTGTTTGTTTAAAAACTTTTCTAACACGTATTCAAGAAAACTTATTTGTTTCTTGTCAAATTTATATATTTACTATTACTTCTCGGACAATAAAAAGTATCTTCGTACTGTTATTTTGTTGATGAAAAGCCATTAGTCATTCTATTTATTGTTTTCTTGTAAAAGTAAACCTTACTCATCATTTTCCTTATAATGCAGTTTCCAACAACAATATATGAGTATTGATTTACTTTTTATTTGCTGTTACATATTTGTATATTAGATAAATGAGATTAATTTAATAGTAAGTAGAATTCTTTGCCAAGATATTGACAAATACAAGATATTTTAAAAGCAAGTGATTTTATATCTTTGTAAAAAAAAAATCAATCTTATTATTCATCATAATTCCTTCGTTTAACGTGTAATGATTGAGATGTTAATAATACAATTAAACCTTAAAGTATTTAAAGAAATTATTTTATACTATTAAGTTCATTTTTCAGACATTGTAAGAATTTCTTATTTTATGAAATCAATTTTGAAAAATTTTACCGTTTTACAAAACAAAAAAAAATTCTTTTTGTATTTCAATTTTTCGCTTTATCTCACTATTTTATATTTATTTATTTTTTCTAGATTATCTTAATATCATGAATATCTATATACGATTAACTTTTTAAACAAATTCGATAGTTCAGCTAATCTACGAGCTACTAATTCTAGAAATGATTGTATTTCGATATAAACAGTACATATCTATATATATATCTATATATTGAGACAATATTTTTGATAAAGTAATTTAATATTTATTCTCATAAATTTTCATTTTTTCAAATATGACTTAACATCTGATTGAGAGAAATATTGTAAAAATTTTTTAAATTCTCTTTAAAATATATTAACTTGAATTTGAATAAAAAATGATGAGAAAAAATAAAGAATTATTTTATTAGAAATCTTTTTTTAATAGGAACTATTCGTATCAAAATGCAATCATTTCTAGAACTAGTAAGTCATAGATCGGCCTAAGGAAAATAGATGTAAGATATTTCTCTCATTGGTACAGATTATCCAATTAGTAGCAAATAAGATGCTCGAAAATCTAAAATCGGTCATCCGTTACCACTTTAAAGCGTCTAAAGTAGCAA